TGGTTCTCAGATCTGACTCTTGGAGATGGTGCTTATTTTTCTGACACAGATTCAGGCACTTTCCCTCTTCCCATTGCTCTGGCCCCCATCCCACGGTCACACGTGGCATCCCATTCTGCAGTCACACGTGTCCCACCTCCCTGCCCTTTGCTCTGGAAGGCCCCGTCCTGCAGACACACGGCTTCTCCTTCCCAGGGTCACACATGCCATCCCATTCTGCAGTCACACGTGTCCCACCTCCCTGCCCTTTGCTCTGGTAGCCCCCGTCCTGCAGACACAGCAGCTTCTCCTTCCCTGCCACTCCTCTGTGTTCCCGACTCTGTCCTGGGATCCTGCCAAATCATAGCTCTTCATTTCCTAATGAGGCATAAAATGCTTGCTCACTAATCTTCTGTTGACTTAAGTTTTCATCCATTGATACATTTTCCCAGCAACTGAAGACAACTTAGTTATAATAAAGATTCACTTCCAGGGTCTTGGAATTTACAGCCTTCTCTCATTCCCTCACGAAGCAAATGTTTCCTTTACCTACCTATTTGTCCCTGTCCTGAAAGCACCCTGGGGATACTGAGGCACAGCACCTATGACACGGCACTAGAACTCACAGCCAAGGTAGAAACTTACCGCATCCCATGGATCTTCCACAACTCTATGTGCACGCAGCACCCAAGAATGGCATTTTCCTCTAGCATTGAGGAGCTGTGCCCTGGGGTGGAACATGTACCTGTCCCAGGCTTGTGCTGTCCCCTGTAGAGTGGGAATGAAGAGGGCCCCTGCACTGGGCTCTGGAATGTGTCTTCAAAAGGGATTTAAGCCCATACCAGACATCTCATGTCTGACATCAAGTATTTATGATCAGGACATTCCTGGAGAAGTAGAGCAAAGTTAACCACCTGTCTCCTGAGCTGGGATGGAATGGAGGTGGGGGCTGTGGGCCCAGGTAATTCTCCCACGACTGTGACTCTGGAAATATCCTAAACAGGCCAACTGCTATTCTAATGGAAAACCTTTATGTCCTCTGGAGAATACAGAGAAACTCAGCTCTGAGCTTTTCCATGACCAACCCA